CTTTATTTTTATATTTCTCCTGACGAAGACAAAATATTTTTGTTGAAACGTTGAGAAAATGAAAAACTCTAACTGGCCGAAGTGTCTATTTTTCACACAGACAGAAATATTTCTATTTCTCTCTCTTATTTTATTCCTATTTATTCAATTTTGTATTTAGTCATATATAATCTTATATGAACGATATAAAAAAAAATTAGTTTCAATCTCAAACTCTCTCTACAAATATTTACCTTCTAATTTAACTCTCTTACATCAACCGGAGAAATACGTCCAGGATAGCCTAGTGGACATGGCACCTGCCCGGTAAGCAGAAGGTTGTGGGTTCGATTCCCGCTCCTGGACACTTTTATTTTTCCGTTCGCCATTACTCTTCATATTTTTCACCCTTCCATACGTCATCCATTCATATATAGACCATCACTCTTCATATATTCAACCTTTTCATACGTCATCCAAAAGTTAGAAATATTAAATATTTCTCTTTGAAATTAAAAATGATTTTTCATAAATAAAAAAGAAACTTATGCGGTTAAACTGTTTGTATAGCTTTATAATTATACGCCGCAGTCATTTATAAGTATATATATATACATGTAAATTTGTAAATATTTAATTATAAGTTTTAATTTCTGTATTGACTTACCCATTGATAAGCTCTACTCTTCCCCAGCAGACACCATCAAAAGTTTCATGCTTTACAAGCTTGATACCTTAATATGATTGAGTGGAGATAAGAAAGAAGAAGAAGATTTATTTATTTCTTCTGTAAGAGACACAAATATTTCAATATATCACCGCCTGGTTTATAAATAAATAATAAAAAATAATTTACCTTCTACAAGTTGATTGAAAGAGAGAGGGGGAAGGTCTTTGAAGATAATTTCAGGATTAAAATTGGAAACTATTTTAAACGCGTATGATCCTTTTTGAAATTAAACAATTTCTACTGCCCTTACTGCAATGGAAAAATTAAAGGGAGGGCCTGGCTCATCAGTGGTGAACCCTCCCAGCGGTTTCGCCAGTTTAATCTACCATACCGCTGTTATATTGCATTTTTGGAACTTCCTTTTATAGTGATATTGTTGCTAGACTCTTGGAATGGGTATTTTAGAAGAACTATGGACATAAGCTTTGAGGACAGTAGAATTACATACAAATATAAATATATAATATGCTTCGAGCAATCGCTCTTCCGCAAAGATCAAATTGTGTATTTTATTAGAACATTTGTAATATAATGCACTAGCGCGCCATCTGTTATCAAAATTGGAAACTATTTTAAACGCGTAAGATTCTTTTTGAAATTAAACAATTTCAGGATTACCTTATCAAACCCCTTTCAAAACTGGCTCAAACAAATAACACTTAACTAAATAATAGATATACCCAATGATATCATTATACACATTAAAGAGGACGTCATTTGTTATACGAATTTAAACTATTTCCGACATTTATTTTATTTATTTAACAATTGCAGAATACACGCCATATCCACAAATCGGATATTTGCGTGTGAAAAAGAAAAAGTAGTTTAAAGGGATATATACATATTTACATATCAGTATGCAAATTGATTACATTAGTAGTCACTTATTTAGTTAAGTACATTCTGCAGAATTTGTTGAATCTTTGGTGTATGTCTTTAAGGTAGACCAGATGTTGCATATTTGTTATGGGAAGTTGATTTAGTTCCCTAAGGTCAGCGGGCAGTCAGTTAATAAGTGTCTGGGGTTCGGTTCTTCGCCTCCACACGAGCATCCAGGTGATTCAGCTTTGCCAATTTTAAACAGGTATGAGTTGAAGTCGCCATGTCCAGTGAAGAATTGCACATTATAGAAGTTAGGTTTGATATAATTAGGAATTTTTGGGCCACTGAAGAAACTTTTGAAATTTTCATTGGTCGCTTCGTAGTATTCCTGTTGTTTGTGATTCTTTTTGAACTGGTATGAGCAGTAGGAATTGTTATAGTTAAAAAATAATCATACACAGGTCAAAACGCTAGTTTAAATTTTTCATAGCCAATGAGAGAGAGAGATCTGGAATTTATCGATTCAATAGCTACATAGGGTTACCATTTTATATACGTGAAATATGATTTATTTTACAAATATTTCAATTGGCTGAGTGCTAACTGAAATATTGGTAAATAAATTATATTTTTCTCTAATATATTACTTTTAATTAAATGCATATGTATGTTATATAAAATATCATTTTATTTAAAATTATATTTCATAGATTCAAATACTCTGTTAAAATAAACCGCCAGAGGTCATGCTTCCCCTATAAAAACTCATTGTTGTTGTTTCCCGATGGCCGGCTCAAACCTTTTGTACATTATGTAAATAAGTTTTTCATTTTTTAGATTCTTGCGCCTTAAGCCAGGCAGTACTTTTATCAAATTATGTTTTTCATATATTCCTTTATTTCAATTAAAGCTATTTTTGATAAATGTTTTTTTTTTTAAATTATTGCCACAACTGCAGAAAAATATCACATACTCATGGATTTCAAGGTCAAGCAAATTCTCAACAAATATCTCTATTCTCAAAATAATCAGCATCAAGTAATAATTCTATATAACTCTAATATTCAGAAATCAACAGAAAATAATTTTTTACATAATATGTATATGACTCTATACCATTGAAATTTGTACAGTTTTTTACCTAAGAAAACATATGATATGGAGTTTTTTTTTTTCTCAATTATATATAACATCAGACCCAGGATATTGTTGCACCAGGCTGCGGTTTGGCAGATTCTTCAGTCTTGATTCTCTTCTCAGACGCGTCTTTTTTCTTTCCAGAACGTGTTTCAACCATCCTACAAGGTTAAACCAGTCAATAATAAGACAACTATATTTTTAGGTAACACCTAGAATATTTCTTTATTTATCATATCAAAGTTTAAAGCAGGTGGTGTATTTAGTTTATCAAAATACCAAAGTTTTATAGTACATAATATTTTATAGTAATAATCTGTTTTATAAAAATAAAAATATATATATAATATAAATTTTAAATATATTAAAAATAATATTATAAATAATTTTTTAAAATACGCGCATTAATCATGATGCAACAATATATATATACAACACCATGATACCTATAAAATTCTCTAATAGCGAAATAAAAAAGTACATATGCTTAACTATGGAATTTTAATTGTACCTAATGTTTTGTATGTTTCAGATATTACTACTACTAATAATAATAATCTTATTTTTTCTATTTTTTTTTTAGGTTAAGAAATTTAGAGCAAAAAGTATCATTAAGATAAAATTTTCATTATACGTTTAGGACTGGTTTTCATTTTAGATTTGTTCGTAAAACAACACCACTAATGCTCTAGTAATAATATATGAACTTAATCATGTATAAAACATAAATGTAAGTTGAAATTATAGTTTTGGATGGTCTTTAGAACATGTTTTAAGGATCTTGTTATAGATAGAATTGTAATTTGTGATATTCAAAATCAATATTAAAAATGAAAATTTTACAAAATAATGACTTCTTTTGCTTATTCCTAGTACATTTGATATAGGCCATTATAATCATGGTGGGTATAAGTTGGCTACTGCTTTTACTGTAAGTGCACCACTTTTATATTACTTATCCCTAGTACATGTGGTGCAGGCCATTATAATCATGGTGGGTATAAGTTGGCGAATGCTTTTACTGTAAGTGCACCACTTTTATATTACTTATCCCTAGTACATGTGGTGCAGGCCATTATAATCATGGTGGGTATAAGTTGGCTACTGCTTTTACTGTAAGTGCACCACTTTTATATTACTTATCCCTAGTACATGTGGTGCAGGCCATTATAATCATGGTGGGTATAAGTTGGCGAATGCTTTTACTGTAAGTGCACCACTTTTATATTACTTATCCCTAGTACATGTGGTACAGGCCATTATAATCATGGTGGGTATAAGTTGGCGAATGCTTTTACTGTAAGTGCACCACTTTTATATTACTTATCCTTAGTACATGTGGTACAGGCCATTATAATCATAGTGGGTAGAAGTTGGTGACTGCTTTTACTGTAAGTGCACCACTTTTATATTACTTATCCTTAGTACATGTGGTACAGGCCATTATAATCATAGTGGGTAGAAGTTGGTGACTGCTTTTACTGTAAGTGCACCACTTTTATATTACTTATCCCTAGTACATGTGGTACAGGCTATTATAACCATAGTGGGTAGAAGTTGGTGACTGCTTTTACTGTAAGTGCACCACTTTTATATTACATATCCCTAGTACATGTGGTACAGGCCATTATAATCATGGTGGGTAGAAGTTGGTGACTGCTTTTACTGTGAGTGCACTACATGTCTACATATATGAAAAGCAGTTCGACTTTGCACTTACAAATGTGCCAGATTCCTGTAAAGGATGACTTATATAGGCTATATAATTTTACAATATTCAATACATTGCATCATTTATATTTTCAGCATCTAGCGCAATCAAAAATGCGTCTTCAAATAAAAACTTAATTTGTAGACAATATTTGAAATCTAGAACTACATAGAATGTAAGTGAGTTTTAAAGACCAAAAAAAGAGAGATCACGTGACATTCCCTGACGGCGTTGATTGGTTCGCCAATTAAAGCAGACGGATGTGTCAACCGATAAAACATTCTTTATTAAATTTTCTCACTTTTTTACAACAAGTGCCAAGGGAACGTTTTTTTAACCTGTTGAAATATTGATGAGAAAGGGATCATCGTCTTTTGGCCTTTTTTGATCCTATAAATTGGTTTTGATGGTTAATTCTTAGCAGATTCAATTATCCTGCCTCTTTTTTAAAATATTGATAAAATTAGGCGTATATTAAAAACAAAGAAGGCATACCCTGACCGGAATATCGGAAATATATTTATTTGCGGGGCTTCTAACCAAAATAAAATGAATTTTGAGCCCAAACTTCGGGATGACACAGCAATTTATTTAAGGAAAGAACAAACTATGAAAAGAAGGTTCCACCGAGATTTGAACTCGGAACGCTGAAGTCTAGAGTGCTAACCATTACACCATGGAACCACAAAAGGTAATAGCTTACAGCACCCGGAGTTCCAAGGTGGTCACCCTCCCAAATACTGACCGGGTCCGACATTGCTTAACTTCGGTGATCGGACGAGAACCGGTGTTTTCAATGTGGTATTTCAATGCATCCTGACCACGAGTACATGTGCTTTTTAGATGTCAGTGCGCCATCTAGTGGAAAAAATCAACTAAACGTTGATTTAGCCTGTTCCCTGATATTTAGCCAATCCATTTTCTTGATAAATCAAGAAAAACCATCCACAAACGCTTTTCGGGCTGTTGGTCCTCGTTAGTGGGATACAGGCTGTACCTATGCCTTCTTTGTTTTTGAATATTGTTGCATCAATTTTAATGCGCCCTACATTTATTAAAAATATTCTATGATATTCAATATTTATTTAAAACAGATTATTTAGATTATCATCATTCATTTTTATAGTTTCATTCCTTTTGTAATATTTTATTGTACATATATCTTGATTGCTTATTGGAGCGAGAGAGTAATTAGACCAAGACTGAGGATCATGACCTACGAGGAAGAATAAATAAACACAATAACTTTAAAAGGTAATTTATTTTCATTTACTTTTCTTTATTTGCTTTGAGTATGGAAACCCGCTCGGTGTATAACACCAAGAAGGAGGAAACCAAGGTCGACAACCCTGCAAAGCTGCAACTTGGTGCAACAATATCAACACCTGACCTTTTTATTTATTTTTTTTCTATTTTTTCACATAGGCGTATATGTATGGATTTAACTTCCATATAGATAATAAATAACAATTTATTTATTAATTAATAGATGTACAGAATATACAAATATCTATTTACATATTTACAAAGAAAATGTTTATATAATTGCATGGAGATTACCATATTATATGTAACTTTTGAATGTAATGAATAATTTGTAACACAAATTTATTTACTGGCAATGTATTTCTTTTCAATAATATCATCAATTATCTATACAGATATCTACAAACTATTTGATGATATTATTGAAAATAAATACACATTGCCATTAAATATATTTGTCACAAATTTTATCAATAGATGTCATTTGTCAGATGTACAGAATACACAAATATCTATTTACATATTGTCATGCGCGTATCCTCTCCGGTTCTTCGCGACAACGCCTCTTCCTCCCTCGTGGATCACCTACCCAGGTACATTTTTGACCAGTGTGAATTCTGAAAAAGATCTCTATTGACAATGACAATTGAAATAAATTTTATTGACTTCTTGTCAATAAATCACATTAAAAATGGAAAATAAAACTAAAAGATAAATGATCATGCGGGGGATGTGCCCCGGCGAGTGAGCCTTCTTTCCCAGGCGATGAGCGGGTCCTCTGCTCCTCCGGTCAGCCCAACCTGTACGAAGTACCGGTAGATGATGGATTTGGCAGACGCTAGGATGGCCAAGTCTTCATCTTTGAGGCCAGACCCGAAAATACAGGCCCGCAAGTCAGGGGGGTCGCCCGAGGACACTGAAGGCTTCGATGATGAGGGGCCTGATACGACTGCAGCTCCAGTAGCGATGGTCAAGGGATCTCTATTAAGGAGAATACACGTTAAATACATTTTATATTGAAAATATATTTCCCAAACATGAGGTCAAATTCTGCTTTAATTTCTCATCAGTAGATGGCACTTTGATTAGAATAATCTATCTCATTATTCACGAATAGATTAATACAAGATGTGATTACATTATGAATACTATACTATTAAATTATTTAGTGAATCTGACTCATATATAATCGAATTATCTAACTATCTAAATTACTGATATCCAACTAGAACCTAACTATATTTATATTTCAATCGTTGTTTACTCGGATATATATATGATATAGGTTGTATCTATCTGTAATGTAAGATATATTACTTAAGTAAATTAGAAAAAGAAAACCTTGAGATATTCCAAAATGAGTATCAAATAGTAGAGCAATCCCTTGCAAAATGGAATATATTATAAAAATAATATTATAGAACAAATATCTATCTACTATAATAAAGGTGTACATACTTGTTCGGCTGAACAACTACTACAATAGGAACGATACAGAGAAGATCAGCATGGCCCCTGTGATACCAGTTCTGCGGTACAACTACTACAATAGGAACGATACTGAGAAGATTAGCATGACCCCTGTTATACCAGTTCGGCGGTACAACTACTACAATAGGAACGATACAGAGAAGATTAGCATGGCCCCTGTGATACCAGTTCTGCGGTACAACTACTACAATAGGAACGATACTGAGAAGATTAGCATGACCCCTGTTATACCAGTTCGGCGGTACAACTACTACAATAGGAACGATACAGAGAAGATTAGCATGGCCCCTGTGATACCAGTTCGGCGGTACAACTACTACAATAAGAACGATACAGAGAAGATTAGCATGGCCCCTGTGATACCAGTTCGGAGGTACAACTACTACAATAGGAACGATACAGAGAAGATTAGCATGGCCTCTGTGATACCAGTTCGGCGGTACAACTACTACAATAAGAACGATACAGAGAAGATTAGCATGGCCCCTGTGATACCAGTTCGGAGGTACAACTACTACAATAGGAACGATACTGAGAAGATTAGCATGACCCCTGTTATACCAGTTCGGCGGTACAACTACTACAATAGGAACGATACTGAGAAGATTAGCATGACCCCTGTTATACCAGTTCGGCGGTACAACTACTACAATAGGAACGATACAGAGAAGATTAGCATGGCCCCTGTGATACCAGTTCGGCGGTACAACTACTACAATAAGAACGATACAGAGAAGATTAGCATGGCCCCTGTGATACCAGTTCGGAGGTACAACTACTACAATAGGAACGATACTGAGAAGATTAGCATGACCCCTGTTATACCAGTTTGGCGGTACAACTACTACAATAGGAACGATACAGAGAAGATTAGCATGGTCCCTGTGATACCAGTTCGGCGGTACAACTACTACAATAAGAACGATACAGAGAAGATTAGCATGGCCCCTGTGTTACCAGTTCGGCGGTACAACTACTACAATAGGAACGATACAGAGAAGATTAGCATGGTCCCTGTGATACCAGTTCTGCGGTACAACTACTACAATAGGAACGATACAGAGAAGATTAGCATGGTCCCTGTGATACCAGTTCGGCGGTACAACTACTACAATAGGAACGATACAGAGAAGATATGCATGACTCCTGTTATACCAGTTCGGCGGTACAACTACTACAATAGGAACGATACAGAGAAAATTAGCATGGTCCCTGTGACACCAGTTCGGCGGTACAACTACTACAATAGGAACGATACAGAGAAGATCAGCATGGCTCCTGTGATACCAGTTAGGCGGTACAACTACTACAATAGGAACGATACAGAGAAGATATGCATGACTCCTGCGTAAGGATAACACGCAAAATTGTAAAGCATTCTACTATAATAAAGGTATACATACTTTTTCGGCAGTACAACTACTAAAATAGGAACGATACAGAAAAGATTAGCATAGTACCTTTGCAAGGATGACAAGGAAAACCTTGAAACGTTCTACTATAATAAGGGTGTGCTCACGCTTGTTCGGCGGTACAAGTACTACATTAGCATGACCCCTGTGGATTAGGATGACACGCAAAATCTTGAAGAATTCTACTATAATGAAGGTCTTGATAAATATACATAGAGATGTATATAGGGGGCGCAATAAAGTTGTTTAAAATATCTCATTGAGAGAATATATAATGAAAATACCCTTTTACCATTTAAATAACCCAAACTAAAGGTCAAATTTGTGTGTTTCAACTAAGAAAACAAAGAAATAATAAAGGATCATTTTAAATCTAAATTTCTGTGGAAAAATAGGAAAACAAACGGCACAATACCCTCCTGAAAGCCTCCTGTAATTGGAGGATGAAGAAGTTTTGAAAATGTTCTTCTCTCCAGTTGATTATGATCTTCTAAAGCTTCTTTTCTTGGGAACCTCTAATGAGGGCAGTTCTTTCCCCTTGAATTTTTATAATTGAACAGTTTGCTTCTCTTCCGTGGGTTTCCCTTCAAAATTCAGTTAGGTATCTTCGAATTTAGTATGTACTACACTTTGCTTCAGTTCTTTTCCCTTGAATTTTTATAATTGAACAGTTCGCTTCTCTTCCGTGGGTTTCCCTTCACAATTCAGTTAGGTATCTTCGAATTTAGTATGTACTACACTTTGCTTCAGTTCTTTCCCCTTGAATTTTTATAATTGAACAGTTTGCTTCTCTTTCGTGTGTTTCTCTTCACAATTCAGTTAGGTATCTTCGAATTTAGTATGTACTACACTTTGCTTCAGTTCTTTCCCCTTGAATTTTTATAATTGAACAGTTCGCTTCTCTTCCGTGTATTTCCCTTCACAATTCAGTTAGGTATCTTCGAATATAGAATGTACTACACATTGCTTTAGATAATAATAGATGGGGGTATATATATTGATACGCCTTCCATTTATTCAAAATAATTACTGATATCTTATATATTTTTTTAAATTAATATTAACTTATGATATTATAATACAATATATTTTTTTCCACTCTGTTTGAACCATTATGGGGGTTCCTTCTTATAAAAAAATCCAGAAAACGTTGAAGAACTGTTATTTCTTATTTTCACTAGGAAATATAATCTAAATCTTTTATTTAAATATTAAGAGCGCAGTTTATAAAATACACACATCTAATCTTTATCTATTATTTATTTGTTTGTAATTATTTATTTTATTGAAGAACGACGTTTGACAATTATTTACCGCAAATGTTTATTTTGAACGAAAAATCGTATTTTAAGGAGAAATAACAATTATTTCTTACCTTAGGGATGAAGTATGAAAGGATGAATTGTAAAGAGTAATGATGAACGGAAAAATAAAGTGTCCAGGGATGGAATATAATATTATGTACTATAGTATCATTCCTTTTGTAATACAGTATACCTTGTTTAATTCAAACAT